ATTCTGACAGGCTGTGGCTTAGCCTATAAACGGAGTGAAAACAGAGCAACACAGGGGAGAAAATGCTTGGTTTAAAACGAACACCAGTAAAAGAATCATCTAATTCTGAAAGCCCCAGAAAGGTTCACCTTTCAACTACTCTGAGATAATTTAAAGTCCTTGTACTGTAACAATATTTTAAACTTTATTGTAGAAAGTGGAAAAACCTACAGTATGCCTGAGCACGTTTCTAAATTCCATAACAGGGCTCCTCCTTTCCTAATCTCTCTTCCACTGTGCAAAAACAAGCAAATATAGATTTCTACTGAGAAACCCACCACCGGAAATGCCCAGTAAAATTCTCTTGCGGGCTTCAATTCCAAAAGCGCAGCGATCTCAATCGGATTGTTTAGCGGTGGGAGCGAGGGAGAGTGTACAGTACAACCACTCCAGTTGGACCTGCAGCGCTACATCTCAGTGGGGAAAACTGTTACGCTGGCTATACGTGCTCGTGCACTGCACATGACATGTACTATAACACAAAACAATTGAATATACCGCCTGGAATACAGCCTAGGGCAAATGTGCATTCAATAAACTTAAAAGAGGCATGACTAGAAAATTACTAGAGTTTAAAAATAGTTTTATTTCACTTCATGAAATTACAGCTACACGCAGGGTGCCAGCACCACTCTTGGCCTAGGCAGGTAGCGCAGTGTTAATGATTCACAGCGTGGAGCAGCGCCTCATGTGCTGTACTCTCCTGACTGGAAGGTTGTGGTTTCAAATGCCTGCAGAGACACTACTGTTGTACCCTAGAGCCCAGGCTCTAGTAACGTGCCTGACATGCGTCTAATTATAATATGTGATAATCAAATAGTTGTGGGAACTTACAAAGGCTTTATTCATATATTTCTGAATATATACCTGAAGAAGGCTTCACAGCTGAAACGTTGTGTTTTTCTCTCTTCTCTTTTCAGCATGGAATAAACCTATTACTTGTTCCTTCATACATTTATTCTTGACATATAGGAATCGCTATTAGTGAACACAGACAGAGGCCGCTCAATTAATTCTGTCACTTGTCAAAGTCGTTTTCTTCATTTAGATCACAAGGAGGGGAGACGCTCACATGAGCGACACGTTTTCGTTTTCAATTTGTCTTTGTAGATTTTGCCGACATTTAACTTTGTTCACCTGTAAAAGTGTTCTGTCTGAGCATTCGAGTTTTGATCAGGAATATTCACTTTCATGCAATGCGGAAACATCACCTGTAATTCACCCAGATGGGGCATTTAATGGGGGTGGATGCTTTTACAGGGCACTGCATGTGCAGACGAGAATGTCATATTAAATTTAATATTAAAACTGCAAACGTTATCAGGAAATAGTTGATAACATACTTAGCATATCTTCAGAGTGACAGATCCAAAATAATCCTCCTTTTCAGTTCCCAGAGCAAGTTAAATAATTCCCATCATACAGTAAAAGCACAAGAATTATTTCAGCTAATCTACTTTACAAAAGTTGTTCTGAAGAACAACGTAGCGACAGAATTGTTGGGACAAATGCACAAACTACAGCGGAGGAAGGAGATTCGACCAAAAAATTATTATTCGACCAAACAATTATTATTATTATTGTTGTTTGTCCAATGTCTTGACCCAAGGTGACTGACCTGGGTCACTGCTGGAAAGGCACTGATGCACTGGCTTGTAGAACAGGGTGAAATCAACTCTAAACAGTTTAAATAAACTCTAAACTCACAGAAAAATAACCTGAATATTCACAGCTGTAGAAGCCACCTTTGCAGGTGATGAATACATATTTGAAAGCCATTTTGAGGAGACCCATTTCCACATATCTTTATCTGAACACTGCAACTGTATTCCCCCCAAAATAGCCTGGAGAGACAAACCGATTAGGAAGGACATTCGTCAAGAGATTGACTAGTGAGAGTGACCGGGAGTGACCGGCAGGCAGTGGAGTGTTTGGTCAGTGGAATGGAGGCGGTGAGTCAGTGTTGACAGTGTGCTCACACACACCTACACACACCAGCGCCGTAACACCATAGGAGGGGTAAGAGACCAGGGCAGGCCGTTCAGCTAGTTTGGTAGTTAATAGTTAATTGATCCCAGCATCTCGCCCAGACAGTTCTTGAATGAGGCTATAATATCAGCTTCAACAACATGTCTGGGCTCATGTTGACTCCCACAGCATCTCTTCCTCTCTCCCTGGCCTGTCGACCCCTTTGCTCTGTTCCTTCTGTCCACTTCTGTCTCTCCTGCCCACCTTTCCTCGTCCCTCTCTCTGTCCCTCTTTCACTCTGTCTCTCTCGGACTCTCCTCTCTGTGCCTCTCTCCTCCTCTCCCTGCTTCTCCTCTCTCTGTCTCTCTGTCTGTCTCTTCTCCTCTCCCTGTCTCTCTTCTCTCCTCTCTCTGCCTTTCTTCTCCTCTTTCTCTCTCTTCTCCTCTCCCTGCCTCTCCTCTCTCTCCTCTCTCTGTCTCTCTGTGTCTTTCCTCTCCAGATCTCTCACTCACCTGTGTCAGTGCATGTTGCGCTCCTGGAGAAACAGTGCACATTCGGCCCTGTGGTCCATCTTCTCAGAGGTAGAAGAAACTGATTTGCTTGCGTCCCAAATGTTTCTGTTTCCTTATTTCTTCCTTCAAAGGTTCGTCAAACAGCAGAAGAAAATGGAACCAAGCCAGTCCTTTGCCTTCAAAAACTCAGTTGATAAAAATACTAATCCCATTTTTTTGAGCAGCCTTAGATTCAGACATATTTTGAAATAGTCGCTGCAAAGTTTTACGTGTTGTACTTCCCAGTTACTGCTTAAGAAATAATCCTAGGTCTGTGAAGTGGAAGATCCCAAATCCAGCCCAACAGAAAAGTGAAAATTGAAAAACAGTGAAAAAACGTGAGAGAGAGAAAAAGTGGTCCAGTCCCAATGCGCTTCAGCCCAGCCAGGAGGTGTGTGATTGTGGTGCCTGTGTGTGTTATTCAGTCTTCAAGCTGTACTGTCATAGAGTCTGTGTGTGATTGTGTGGGCACTGTAGTGTCTGTGTGACGGGATGTAGTGTCTGTATGTGACTGTATGCAAGCTATAGTGTCTTTGCGCGATTGTGCACTCTGTAGTGTCCTGTGCGTGATAGTGCACACTGTAGTGTCTGTGTGTTATAGAGCATCTACGCGTGATTGTGCATGCTGCAGTTTCTGTGTGTTACAGACAGCCTGTGTGTGATTGTGCATGCTGAAGCGTCTCGGTGAGTTTTATAGAGTGGATACGGTGCATGTGTTACAGAGTGCTGTAGTGTGTCTGCGCGCGTATGTGCGTGAAATCAGATGTCTCGATCAGTGATCCTGCAGGCCAGTCTCTCTCCGGCTCTGAGCTCCGAGCTCTCTACAGGTCTAAGCGGACGGGCGATAGCTCTAAATATAGCCTCCCCTGCTTGCCCCTCTCCCTCCTCCCCTCTGCTGTCCTCTGTGGAGGAGGGAGGAGCGAGTGGGTCCGTTTCCTCTGCTCCTCAGGCTGGGAGGAGAGGTGCTCGTGGGGGGGCACTGAAGGAGAGGGGGGGTGGAGGACTGACACACAAACCTCTGCCAAGAGATTTTTGTTTCGTAATTAATATTTCAGGCTCCTGTCAGCAGGCGTGTCTGCCTGTTCGTGTCCAGTTTGTGGAGGGCGTATTGGAGATGCCTGAGTGTGTCAGAGTGCTTGTAACACAGTGTGTGTGGTTGGTCGTTTGCACTGTGTGCAACAGTGAATTATCAGAGCGTGTGTGCATGTATCGGTGTGTGCACCTAACAGTGTACAGTGTGTGCTAGTGTTTGTAGGTGTGTATCAGTGTGTACATGTGTGTATCAGTAAATGTGTATGGTGTTTTTTTGTGTTTGCAGGTGTGGATCAGTGAATATCAGTGTGTGTTAGTGTTTGCAGGTGTGTATCAGTGAATATCAGTGTGTGTTAGTGTTTGCAGGTGTGTATCAGTGAATATCAGTGTGTGTTAGTGGTTGCCGGTGTGTATCAGTGAATGTGTACGGCATGTGTTAGTGTTTGCAGGTGTGTATCAGTGAATGTGTGCAGTGTGTGTTAGTGTCTGCAGGTGTATATCAGTAAATATCAGTGTGTGTTAGTGTTTGCAGGTGTGTATCAGTGAATGTGTATGCCGTGTGTTAGTGTTTGCGGGTGTGTATCAGTGAATATCAGTGTGTGTTAGTTTATGCAGGTGTGTATCAGTGAATATCAGTGTGTGTTAGTGTTTGCAGGTGTGTATCAGTGAATATCAGTGTGTGTAAGTGTTTGCGGGTGTGTATCAGTGAATGTGTACGGCGTGTGTTAGTGATCGCGGGTGTGTAAGAGTGCATCAGTGTGTGTGCTTGTGTGTGTCACTGAGCAGATAGAAACTGAAAGGCTGTGGCTCAGAGGGGTCCCAGCTCCAGCTCAGAGTATCGGCCCGGCGTCGTGTCCATCACTGGCAGACAAGACGCTCATCCTTTCCTCAGTGTCAGAGCCTGGCAGGGGCCGGCGCACACTCCCTACACACTCTGCCTCCTCTCTCCTTCCACCTCTCCTTCCCTCCTTTTCCCTGCGTCCTACAGCTCCGAGGTCACCTCCTACATTCCAGGCGTTTCCCTCCCATCTCCGTCTCTCCACGGGACACGACTGACAGCAGAAGGACGGGAGAGGGGGGAGGAGGAGGGAGAGGAATGGAGAGAGCAGGGAAGATCGGAGCCCGACAGGCTGCTTATTTGCTTTGATCTGGCGTCTGGAAAGTTGGGGGGGGCTGGAGAACACGGGGACTGGAAGGGACGCAGCGGACTAGGGGTGTCCAGGCCTGGTCCCGCAGAGAGCCGGGGTCGCCCCTGAAGCCCCAGACTGCGAGGACCTGTCCACTCCACCAAGTCCTTCAGAGATCATGTCAACCGAGACTCAAACCACCCTGGAACTCTCTAGACCCACAGCTGCTCGTTTTATTCGGACTTAATTAACCCAGTTAACGTACTAAATTGAGCAATGCTCAAATTTAGATTCGATGAGTTGTGCTGGCAAGGCTGTTGAATTACGGTGTTTCCGAAGCTATAACAATTAACAAGACATTTACACCCATTTAAACCAATTAAATACCAGTGGTAGTAATATCTGAGAGGCCCAGGCTGGGACAGGAGATCACACACCGGGCTGCAGCTCTGCTGAGTTTCTTCCCCCTGTAGGATCAGTAACTCTGGCAGGGGTGGGGATGCTGGGAGTTGATTCGTTATTTGTTGTCTGAACAGAGCTCACACGTGTTCCTTAAACTGATGGTTTAAGGGTGACCCTGAAAGGCCTGCTGTGCTGTGGTTCACCCAGACAAGACTTGGGCGTCCCTGATTGAGACTAGAGTTTGAGACTAGAGCAGCCGTATCACCCTGCAGCTCCCAGCTGGCAGCCTGCTGGAGCTCAGCAGGTGGGAGCCTGGCCAGTACCTGGATGGGAGACCTCCTGGGAAAAACTAAGGTTGCTGCTGGAAGAGTTGTTAGTGGGGCCAGCAGGGGGCTGTGTGGGTCCTAATGCCCCAGTATAGCGATGGGGACACTAGACTGTAAACAGGCGCTGTCCTTCTGATGAGACGTAAAACCGAGGTCCTGACTCTCTGTGGTCATTCAAATCCCAGGGGAAGAAAGTAGGGGTGTAACCCCGGTGTCCTGGCCAAATTTCCCATTGGCCTTAACCAATCTTATCCCCCAAATAACCCCCCTCTCTGAACTGGCTTCATCACTCTGCTCTCCTCCCCACTGAAAGCTGGTGTGTGGGGAGAGGACTGGAGCATCATCCAGGTGGGGCTGCACACTGGTGGGGGTGGGGGTGGAGGGGATCCCCATTACCTGTAAAACGCTTTGAGTGAAGTGTCCAGAAAAGTGATATATAACTGTTAGCAATTATTATTATAATTGGGCAGCAGTGTGAAGCCAGTCAGGGCTCTGTACCCATGACTGCAACGCTGTAGTTAAAAAGCCTGGTGTGACGTAGCCTTTGTACCCTTGCAAGTACAGTACGTTGCTTTGGATAAAAGCATCAGCCAGCTGAGCTCATAATGTGTTGAACATTCTGCTGGTTTAGGGTGGATGCCTGAAGCAGTTTTGAGGCACCGCTGCCCTAAAGGGGTCACTCGGAGCCCTGTACAGCCTAGCCATGTTTTTGCTGAAGCCCCCAAAAATCTCATTCTCCAAGGCTGGGGCTGCACCCCTCCCTACCCCTCCTGCACCCCAATCAGAACCCTCCCCAGAACCGTTATTCCACTGACCAAGATCCTATGGTCATGGACTCAGCCCCTACTGACCGCTCCACCTCACCTGGTCACTTCTGTCCGCAGGTTCAAGGCGTGTTGGTGACGCCGCACGCTCCCAGTAAACGGAGAGATACAGTCACGGTTTGAAAGTGCAAACCCCGCACACGATCGCTCGCTCGCTCGCTCGTGAGAACAAGAGCCAAACTCTGCAGCTTTTTCTTCTGCTTATGCTGAAGCTCAGGCTGCGTGGTGCACCTGAGTCATACCACAGGCAGCAGAGGGGGACGGTGGTCCGGATTCTGGACCTGACGGCTGCAGGTTCAAATCCTGATAGGAATCCTAATTCCTGTTGCAAAATCCCTCCTGTGTGATTTGGAATTTGTTCCTACCCGGTAAAATAAAGGCGCAGGGAAAAAGGGGGAAATGACAGGTGAGGCATCTTTATGGAGACAGTACTGGAGGAATGAGTGTGTTTTGCTCCAGCAATTTTTCAATAAATTGAGGGGGAGATGAAGTTTGGCTTTGTCTGTCATAATTACCTGCTGCTGTGTTTTCTCTGGCTGGGGCAGCGCAGCACACGGAGAAGATGAATAAGAGCACGGGCTCTAACAGCCATTCCCAGCCATTATCTCTAATTTGGCCGATATTGTTTTAGCAAGAATAAATAATATTAACGATTACGATAATTGCTCATTTAACCAGGACCCATTAGAGGCTCTTGCTTATTGAAAGGATTACAGCTGATATTATTCTAAGAAGGACTACTGACATCATTAGTATCCCTAAGACCTTTTTCCACGATAAATTTGCAAGGTAATTCAGCAAGTTTACACAGGGTTTCATCTTTGCTCTACACTCATCTGCCTTTGTTTTTTTAACCATTAGCATTTATTACATGCTCATACCGCACATGTCATTATCCACACTCACCTGAATTTAATAACACAACTGCATGATATCACTAATACCTGTGTTACGGTTCTGCCAATAGTGGTGGCAGCTGTAATTGAACACCAATAGGAGTAGAAACAGTAGTAAAACAGTAACAGTAGTAGAAACCTTCGCTCTGCGCATGTGTCGTGAGATTATATAGGGAGTTACACAGCCCTGGGCTCACATGCTGTTGATGTCGTCACCCTGAGAGGTGTGTGTGTGCTGTGTGGTCTGTCTGGGAGAGCCAGAGGTCAACAAGCATGTTGACATGCAGAGCAGAAAAAAAGCACAATATTCATGTCTGAAATTGTTGAGTCCAATTAGGGTGCCAGTCAAGCACTTCATAGAAAGAAACACAAGGGAAAAAATACTTTGAAGGCTGAAAACTGAATTTTCTTGACACAATTTGTTTTTCCAACAGCTCTTGGCAGAATACTTTCTAAATGTAAAAAAGCTGCTTTTCCAGTGCAGGACTCACCTCAAGTAGAGCAGAGGAGAGGAGGGCCAGTGGAGTTTTTATCCAGGAGACATGGTCTGTATCCGGAGAGGAGACACACTCGGTACCCAGAGACAGGAGACAGTCTGTATCTGGAGAGGAGACACACTCGGTACCCAGAGACAGGACACAGTCTGTATCTGGAGAGGAGACACACTCGGTACCCAGAGACAGGACACAGTCTGTCATCGCCATCGCCCTTCCTCTAGAGCGTCTGCTTCAGGCCCTGAGTGGCACCCAAGGGGGTGTTTGTGTCTGCTCCGTTTTGAACTTGGTGTTGTGTCAGTTACGGTCTCTGGGTAGCGTGATGTGGCGGGGTTCTGCCAGAGCAATAACAGTGATGAAGAACAGCCTGTAAGCCACAGGCAGTAATGGTCTCCAGGCTGTGCTGTACTCTCTCTCCTGGGGTGAAGTGGAGTGACTACCCTGTTTAGAGCTGAGATTTACGAGGGCTGGGTTAGACCATAACACAGCAGCTGATTCATTTCATTTGACAGGACGTGGGGTTTGAGAACCTCGGTGTGTCTTTCCTTCAGTAACTGGGTACAGCACTGTGTGTGTTTGAGTGTCGTTATGTGTCAGTGACAGTCTACCAGCGTGTGTGGCAGTACCTGTGTGTGCGCACATTCTGTAGAAAGCGTGTCTGTGAGTGTCCTGTATAACTGTACCAAACAGTGTTTGTGTGCAATAGTGTCAGTGTGTCCTGCAGTGACTGTGCTTACAAGACTTATCTTACCGAGATTGTGTGCTGACTTGTGTTTTTCATG